TGACGCACCCGCCGGTGAGCCCGCCACCGACGCGCCCAAGGCTGAGAGCAGCGAGGCTCCCGCCGACGCCAAGGCATAAATTCGAAAAACCAATGACACAGACACAAAAACGGCAGGGGTTTAGTGGTGATATGGTGCATCTTGGTAAGCAAACGGTCAATGATGGCTAGATTCATCGTTTTCTCAGTGTGGCATGAAGGGTATATCCTAGGTGTGACTTCAGGGCCGGGTATGCGCTTTGTTTAGACTACAAATTTTCAATCCTGTCTACATCCTCTTACCATGTGTCTTGTCACACATGCGCACCTGCCTCTGTGGCACCCATTGTTATCCCTTCTCTATCCATACAAGTCTCACTTACATGTCAACATGCTTCCTTTGCGACTAGAGTGCGGCTGGTGGCTACTTATCATAACTTTGCTATTCATACAATCTTTTCAAGGATTATAATCAAAGATATCCGCTTGTTAAGTTTGTTTTACTTTCTAGTCGAGGTATGGCTTGGCGAATGCTCAGTATTGATGTTCCATGATTGCTACGAACTGAATGCTCCTCTCACATTGCGATCCTTACGTCACGCACCTGCTCGCGAGAAGTCGTGACCGCGACTTATTGTTGCTGTCACTCTTTGCGCTTGACGGCATTAGGCTGCCATTCTTCACAGTGCCGATGAAGTCGGACTCTCTCTCCCTCTCTCATACATATATATACACGTACATCAGCTCTACAAAATTTCGGCACGGATCACAATCTCGACAACTCGACTTATTCTCTTGAAAGATACTAAAGTTTGAACTGGCTCTACACGCGTGACTAACAGATCTGACAACGCACATTTCGCGTGGCCAAGCAGCAACCATGGACTCCGTCACCTTGTCGCCACCTGCCCAGACTGTCGACAACCACCATTGTCTCCAATGGTAGAGACGACCACCACCATACCATCAATAAGCAGGGCGCATGATCGTCTTCACTCATACCACCACGGATCAGCCGGGTTACGACCGCCTTAACTCCCTTCCGGTTCATGGGATTTGCCCTGCTGAAATACGAGTCATGGTACACGAAGCAACTGGTCGTCGTTGGGCAAAGTCTTCTATACACCAGACGACTACTTTGCCAAAGAACGAAGAAGCGTTTCATGGACTGCAGACTATACCGAGCTCCATCACTGGCTCTGCTTGCGGGTTAGCAGGCGAATTCATGATGAGGCTGAGGAAGTCTATCTTGGGGAAGAATCTATTCGTGCTACCTACCAGATCAGTTCACAAGGAGGAACCTTTTTGTCCAATTGCTTCGTCAATCATGTGGTTGTGTGGAAGAGTACTATAGGTCAGAAGACGTACATTCGATGCGACGCGGGCCAGGTTCATGTCTTTAGGGCCGAGCACGACAGTATTCCTGGGTGTGAGGGATAAAGGCACCATCAACTCAAAAGAGGCACAGCTAGTTTGAAATCTTCCTTGTCAAAATACTCATCGACTAAGTGTACACAAAACTACAATGTTTCTGCCGTCTAAAAACGCTCACAGCATGGCACTATAAACACTTTCCTTCCTCAACCCCTCTTGCTTGTCTCTTAGAAGAAGTGGTTGTCTATGACAGCATCCTGCTCATATCGTTCCTGATCCTGTTGTAATCCAACAGACCCTCAATCTGTCCGACGGCACTGACAGCAACGTCCTTGTCCCACAGCCTGTTACGGGCGAATTGCATAACGTCCTTCTCTGTGATGCGGCCGACAACGCGCTCAACCTCCTCGGGGCTTAACCGGCGACCAGTGGTGACGATTTGGCGACCAATGTCCTCTGCGACGGCGGTGGTGCCGTCAAGGGCGAGGAGGATAGAGGCCTTGAGTTGGGCCTTGGCACGCTCGACTTCGGCGGAGGTGACGTTCATGGAGAGGCGGGACCACTCGCGGAGAGTGAAGTGGACGAGGTCATCGAGCTGGGTGAGGTTGGAGCTGGTGAGGTAGATACCCCAGAGACTGGAGGGTGTTAGCAGATATCTTCATGTACTTCTTGGAGTGACGTACCCAGTGTCAGAGTAGCTGGTGGAGAAGCTCATGAAGCTGTTGGCCAGGGCGTTTTGCGAGACGAAGTTGCTGAGCTTGCTGCCAAGGTAGTCCGAGGTACCCATGGCGCGGTCCCAGTTACCGACGATAGCCTGTGTGACGAGGGCAGTGAAGTAGTCGGGGTCGCTCCAGCTAACACCCTCAACGGCAATGGCGATGTTGGCAGTGCCCATGGTGTCGTCACGGAGGCGGACCTCGGAACCGATGAAGTCGGGCTTCGCCTTCTGCTCAGCAGCGGCGGACTTGGAAGAGTAGTCCTGGGGCTCCGAGGGGAGGTTGGCGAAGTACTTCTCGGCGAGGTCGACGAGTTGCTCGTGGGGAATGCCACCAGCGCCCACGAGGACCATGCGGTCGGCAGTGTAGTTGGTCTTGATGTAGTTCTCGAGATCGGCGCGCTGGATGCTCTGGATGTTCTCCTTGGGTCCGAGGATGGTGCGGCCGAGGGGCTGGCCCTGGAAGGCAGTGGCGTGCAGGTGGTCAAAGACGACTTCCTCGAGCTGCTTGTCGACCTCCTCCTGCTCACGGAGGATAACATCACGCTCGCGCTCGATGGCCTGGGCCTCGAGCTTGGAGTTTTGGAGGATATCGGAGAGGATGTCGACGGCGGCGGGGACGTCGTTGTTGAAGGCCTTGGCGTAGTAGACGGTGTTCTCGCGCTGGTTGGATTAATTGTGCGTTCACTTGAGATTTGTGGGTATGACGTACCGAGGTGTAGGCGTTCAGGTGTCCGCCCATGTTTTCTATCTCGAGTTCCAACTGCTGCTGGGTGCGCTTCTGGGTTCCCTGTGCCAAGCATCAGTCCTGCTTCATTGCCATTTGTCCCGGCCATTGCCATTGCCATTGAGATCGTACCTTGAAGGCAAGGTGCTCGAGGAAGTGGGCAGTGCCGTTGGTCTTGTCCGTCTCTGCGCGGCTTCCTGCGTCGATCCAAACACCGACGGTCGACGTTTGGGCCCATGGGGAGTGCTCGGTAGCGATCTGGGTGCATGGGTCAATTGCAGTCGTGAAGAGTGCTACAGCGTCGGGCCTACCGTGAAGCCATTTCCGAGGGTAGTGGATTCAGTCTTCGCGCCGTAGGCAACGGGCGTGGCCAGGCCGCGGGTCAGAGGCGAGGCTCGCGAGGACTTGACGGCGTTGATGGCGGAGCGAGAGCGCATGCTCTGCTGCAGGTTGAGGGCGAGCCGGCGGGAAGCCATTGCGTCTGCTCGCTGTGGCGGGGGGATGGGAGTTGGTTAGATGGGGTTGGGGTGGATGTATCGACGTCCAGCTGCAGCTTGGCCTAGGTGAGGTGGATGAGTTTCGTCAAATCTGCGATCACGGGATTTCCCGGCCTGCACCGCCAGCCAATGAGCGCAGCAGGGACGTCAGCAATCGACATCCGAGGCATTGTCGTCAATATCCAAGTCGTTCCGATATTGCATCGCAGCGACCTCCTACACCAAGACCTCCAACCTCCAGCACACAATGGCCTCCGTCATGCGTCCCGGCCTCCTCAGGCAAGCGTGTCCGCCAGCCCACCAGTCGCAGCGCATGCTGTCCACTGCGACGTCGACCATGAACCGCCCGCTCGTCCAGCAACTTCGCCCGGCATTCCAGCGCTCCACCATCCAAAAGTCCACGCGCATTGCCGCCTTCCACGCCACCCAGCGCAACCAGATCCTGCCGCCGCTGCCCCAGAAGATCATTGGAACCACAAACGACCCAGTCCCAGTGCCAGACCCCGACTACGCCCACGGCAGCTACCACTGGAGCTTCGAGAGGATCGTCTCCGCTGGTCTGATTCCCTTGACCATTGCCCCCTTCGCGGCTGGATCGCTGAACCCGCTCACCGACTCTATTCTCTGCGCCCTTCTGGTCGTCCACTCGCACATTGGCTTCGAGTATGTTGATTGGAAGCGTTTGTAGCCGTTACCGTGACTAACGTCCTACAGGTCCTGCATCATCGACTACTTCCCCTCCAAGCGTGTTCCCAAGACTCGAGCAGCTGCCATGTGGGCTCTCCGCGCTGGAACTGTCGCTCTGGGTCTTGCCCTCTACTCTTTCGAGACAAACGATGTTGGTATCACCGAGGCCGTCGCGAGGTTGTGGCACGCATAGATATATATTTTGGACCTGTAATACAAATGCAGAGGGACATGTCTTTTTTGATTCAACTACTGGACCACGGAGTAGAGTGATTGTCTCGATATCTTATCCTTTTCTTACTTCCTAACTTCCATCGATCCTCTATACGCTTGCCTCTTGCGGAATGCGTTTGCAAACGGACAGTCATTTTGCCAAAGTCGCATCGGTCGCGTCGAACATGATTGCGTAAGAAGTGTCCATACCAGGCTAGGAATATGCTAGAGAAGACACAGCTTTTACCGATATAGGCACAGCGTCTGTTCAGCCCCTCCATTCTGTAGATATTGACATCGCGTAGGCGCTACACAACGCTCTTATGAGTAAAGTAGAAGAGTGATTCATCTTCTCATTCAGTGGTCGAAATAGACCAACCGAAACTCTTCTATACTAAGTATGGTTGCGATCTCAATCTCGGCCTCCTGTGTCTTCATCCATCGTCATTTACCCCTCCAATCTACCATGGATAACAAGATTGCGGTCACGCAATGGTTGTCCCTTCTGCGAGCTTGCCTGTGACATTCGAGTACCTACGGTCGTCTGATGCTCGACCGAAGCCTCAAGCAACATCCATCGCAATGAAAACAGCAGAGACTCCCTTGGTGACGACTCCCTCTGACAAGCACGATAAGAGAGTCGATAAGGAATCAAATACTGATCTCTTTATGGACAACTCGATCACTATACCCATAGCAGAGATCCCTGAGGCCATTACGCCCTCCAACGAGCGCTGATCGCATCTCTCCCTACAGAAAGTCAAAAACGATGTAGAGAGCCAAGTATCGTCAAAGCTCTAGAGTAGAGATCAGTACGGAATGTTGATACCATTCCAGCTCCAAAAAGATCCCGTACTCTCTGGTTTGATCTGGTTCGTCACTGTATAAATCCCGCGTACGGAATCTCGAAGATCCACCTTGTTCTTCCAGCCATTTAACCGCGTCGCAACTACCCCAGGATCAACGGTAATAGCTGTTATACCGACGCCTCTTTCCTTGAAATCCATTGCAAGCGTTCGTGATGCTTGATTCAGTCCTGCTTTGGCAACCTTATAGGCGATCTTGCTTCCCGTGTCATTTTCTAGTCCAGTCAATGCCTTCATTGCATTGCGTGCTGTGCAACCTTACCAGAAATCGAACCGCAGATAGAAGAGATATTCACCACTTTCGCATGTTCACCAAGGATCAGATTGCGCTCAAAGTGCTTTGTTACCAGAACTGGTCCCACAACCATCGTCGAGAAAAACCGTGAAAAGGTCTCAGCATCGTTGTCTTGCCACGTCAAGGGCGCACCGCTAACGCCTGTCCATTCTTTCAGCGAATGTAGTCTGCAAAAGATTGAAGACATTTACCCGCGCAGTTTACGAGGCAATGAAGTGGGGTATGTTCGCCGTACTGCGTTGCTGCTGAGACGATCGTGCGCTCCTCAAGATAGTCAATCTCGAGGATTTTGATTGCGATACTCTCAAGCTAACGAGCATCAGTAATGGGCATCGATTGAGAGGAAGTCATTAATTAGACCACCTGGGTGGACGCACTTCAAAGATTGATGGATCGTTACGCGTTTGTGGTCGGACTGAGCCATGAACAACCCAACCTTGGTCCCGAAATTCTCTTGCCAACCCTAGGCCAATACCACGATTCGCACCTGAGATATTACCAGTTTGATTAGGTTTTCGAACCAGTTGGAGTGCGATACTGACCGATTATGAGTACGTTTCTTGACATAATGTGTGACCCTAGGCTATCGAGAAAATCCAGGAAATGAAAGGGTTTCGATCAGCTTTTATGCATCACCAGCGGCTTGGCCACGTCTCCTTACGTAACAGACGCACAACTTAGTGACGCACAGCTATTGTTCATCATGGTAGAGCTCTTCTAGGATACGGTACAATCGTCGTGGTAGCTGGATGTACTGAAATTTCTATAACATTTTATAAACAAAAGTAAGGACAAATCTCAGTATATATCACTGATACAACGAAACAGCATAAGGATGTAAGACCAGCTGGCTTGTTACGTGAGTATCATCTACTATCTGGCCCACAGGCTGACGAGCTTCTCAAAATCCTCCTCACACGGATTCTGCAAGGCATGTCCGACAAGTAGTCGCCGAAGCTCGAGCGCCTTCGCACGATACTTTTCTGCTTCATCGGCCTCTCCCAGCTTTTCAAGCACCTCCGAAAGTTTGAAACTCGATCTTGCAACTTCACCAGAGCGAAACGTCCTATCAGAGCCGGTCTCATATACCCTTAAAGCATTTTGGAGAGCTTGTCTGAAAGACGTTAGTAAACACTCATTGCGTTCGAAGCACCCACATACTTTGCGACATCGAAACTACCAAGCCGCGCCTCGTGCCAGCCTTTCTTATGCCATGCATCGCCCGTCTTATGATGCTCTTCACCATATGTCTTTCGCCAACAGCCGAGAGCTCTCTCGTGGAGCGAGTATGCTTCGCCCAGCAGATTCTGAGAGATGCGAACATTACCAAGGACGTAGAGCATGCTACCCATACTAAGGCCCGTTAGTTCAGCTCTTGGCCTATGCAGAAATGGTAGACAGTGTACTCACACGAAGTTCCTAACATCATCCTTTTGGCCAACAGCTTGTTCGCGAAGCTCAATCAGCTTGCACAGCCGTTCAGCGGCTTCCTTGAACTGCCCATCTGCCCATCTAGTACGACAAATGTTGACCTCGTAAGGGGAATCGATATCGTCTTTTGGTGCATACTTGAAGCATTCAAAGTAAGATGCAATAGCCTCCTTGTGCCTCCCCAAGCCATTTTGTGAATTTGCGATCCCACCTAAATATTGTTCGATGTCTTCGTTTGTCACTTCGGCGTTTCCAGCCTTCGTGAGCTCTGTGTAGTGTGCTTCTGCAGCCTTCCAGTGCTCCAATGAGAGCTCAAAGTTACCTACCTCCGACCAAATACACGCGTGTTGATGATGCAGTCGCATGGACTCGATTATCTTGTCACCCCACTCACCAGGGACTGAGGCTTGGCCGGGATCCTCCCCAAGTATGTCATGGCCAGTTTCTACAAGTGCAAGCCCATTGCTGAGTTTTCCTCGTTTGTAGCACAGTCTATCTGCATTGTCAGCCTTGAACAGTGATGAAAATCCAGTCGCATGTTACTTACGATGCGCATTTCCGCAGCAACTTGACAAAGTTCAGAGTCGGTTTAATACTTGGAGACGTGTCGTCAAGGGGCTTTGTTTGGTAGAAGTTGTGTAATGCCTGTACATGAGGCAAGTACTCTTTGAGTTGAAGTGGAGCCATCTGGTGGGATATCTCAAACTTGGTTGAGCCCATAGCTGCCAACACCATAGCGATTGCATCTTCAAAAGGTCGCTGCAATGATTTCACTCTGGAGTTGAGTTGAACGCAATCCTGGAGCAGTCGATGTATGTGAAAGCTAGGCAGTCTTTGCCCATCGTCCTCGACGTTTCTTGCTATGATCCCGTTATAGAGACTAGGCATATAGTTATCGCTGTCCTTGATGTGACTGAGATCTTTCAATCCATCAGACTCCAGCGCAGCCTCCAGGAGTCTGAGTTGAATATAATCAGGATCAAGTAGAGAGAAAATCTCTAGCAGGTCTCGAGCCTCCGTGCCGACGTTTTGTATAGTATCAGTCAAAGTCTCGAACAAACCTTGTGGATATGGTGCCCAGTTACGGTGGGATTGATGCTTGCCAGCATGCAGAAGAAACTTGTGGCGATCGGTGTATTTTTTGTTGTACTGTTCAAGCGTGAAGTCAGAATCGTTGATCAACCCAATTGCGGCCTGAATGCCGAGCGCTAGGCCGGAAACACGCTCTACTATCTTTTGAGCCTGTTGCCGTGGATCAGGGACTCTTCGTGCGTGTTCTTGTATCTGACCAAGTATCATCTCTATCCCATCGTCATTGGAGAGCTTGTCCAGTTCGAGACCAGCGTTCGCGACCGTGCTGGTCCCGAATACTTGCTTGCGCGCTGTTATCAATATTGCGCCAGACTCACTGTGTGGCCACCAATCGTTGATCAACAGCGGGCTCACCGCATTGTCATAAACAAGCAGCCATCTTTCGTCTGGCTTAAATTCAGTATAGCTAGCCAACAAGAAGATGCCGTGAAGCTTACCAGTCCGGTCAAGATGGGCCATCAGTTCCCGTGCACCTGCCGTGACATCCGTGTCGGCTTTTCGGAGCTTCGCCGCGACTGCGCAGTCCTGGAGACCCTGCTCCAGTTTATCACCAGCATCCGCCTGTACCCAAAATATGTACGCAAATTCGTGCCTATGCTCAAACACGAAGTGTAAAGCAGTTTGCGTCTTGCCTTGACCAGGAGGACCCCACAAAGCAAATGCGCGGGTCGACTTTGTTCCAGGCGAATCGATCAAACGCTCCTTCATGACCTGAAGCGTGTTTGTGCGTCCCTGGAAGAACTCGTTCTCGGGATAAGGTATGTGATGACATTTGACTTCGACATTCGCTCGTCGAGCTCGTTGGACATGTGGTTTGTTCGTTGGCCCCTGAATAGTCAAGCTGGCAAGCGGCGCGTTTAGGATTGCCACATTCGTGGTCGGCCCTGAGTTCTGATAAGCAATCTGCCACAGCCTGAACGATTCGCGGATACATACTGGAGTCAATAGCGCTTCTAATCACCTTCGATACTATCTTGTAAGTGGGGTGGTCCAAGAAGCCGATGCTAGCATGATCGGCAGCGATTTCATGGAGCTTGCATTCAGCAACAGAAGCAAGTTGCTTGTCAACAACCTTTTTGAGGATTAGCACCTGACCTTTAAGTATCGACACATTCTTCACCACTTACTATCCTGGATCTTGAGAAAATATTCTTTGCGTAGTGTAACGATTTTGTCTCGGCAAATGCAGTCAACGGAAAGACTTTGCGTTTCAGAGGGCTGAGCAACGATGCCAACACTTTCATGTCGCCAAGTGGTATTTTATCTGCCTTTCCTGACTTCTCATCAGGGGATGCCTGCTCAATAGTCCGACAAGCGCGTAGACTGCTTCGTAAGTCGTCGAGAGGAGCATCGCTAACAGGTACGCCAAAGAAAATGGCAGCGGTTGTTGCTGTTGCTAAGTTTTCTTTCCGGTCTTCTTGGTCGGATCTTTGTGCTGCCTATTCCGAGACTAATAAGCGGTATGTTGTTGTACGATCCATTAGTACGAACCTCAAGGAAAACATAGCCTCCTAAACCTTGACAGCAGACAATAAGCGGAATCTGGTGTAATGTCAGAGATTCTGGGCATGAAACTTTCTGAGGATTGACTCAGACCTCCAGGTCCTGGCGGAACTTGTCTAACACGTCGACTAACAATCCACCCAATCTCTGAATAGCGGCTCGCAAACCCTCTGATTTTTGGAATCCGCGCTGGAATATGAGTACGCGACTTTGTGGAAAGTCTTTGAGGAAGAAACGCTGCGGCCAACGCTCACCACTCCATATCTCATGTACGTTTTTGCCGTCAGTAGATGACAATGATCCTACAACGACAAGGCTGTTCGGCGCGCGCGTTAGCACTGCACCAGAGACAAGATATGTGGCAAAGCTGAGGCTATGAATGGGGAAGCTCTCACTCACTCCAGAACTGGAACCAGGCTGTCATCCGAGGGTGTGTGGAACAAGGTGCCGAGGCCGAAACCACTACTCATATCAGGCATTTCAAGAGCTTCACAGGTATGCCCAGGTATTCAGTATCCAGCACCTGTCTTCAACACATCTGAGTAGGGCTCCCTACTAGTGCTTTGCTGCAAGCAAAAACTTGCGACTCTGCTCTAATGCGTAGATTAAGATTCGATAGGCTTGACAGCCCAATAGCGCAATCGTTCGCCCTACGCGCTCGGCAAATGAAGGCTTGCCTTCTCTCAACCTACTCGCCCACGATATGTGTCATGTCAGACTTGAGCTGACCAGGCTGAGGACCTCAATGATGGGTGTGATAAACCTGCATCTCGGATGCGCAGGGTGTGTACATGCATGCACGAGGGCACAACAAGCCAGTGCGGTTTGAGGCAATCATACGTTCCCCGCATCACTAGCAAAGATAGGCTTGCAGGATTCAATCTTCTGACTGCATCCTGTTATGCAACGAGATTCAGCTGACAACTCCACCTGAGACTGGTGGGGCCGATCAACGCTGAGGGCAACGACATAAAATGCACCGAGTGTCCCGTTGAGAGAATCATAACCCCAAACTCAGATTCCAAACATACACACAAATACAGTCACTTCTTTCAATTGGTGCGTAATCTAGTTTGCTAATGCAAGCCTGATGCTTGATTCTTGTCTAACGAATGATGACAGACCATGCGTTCCAACACTCAGCGAGCTCAGCCATGGAAGGCCTTCTGTGACCCCAATTCCAATGAACACAAATCATTTATCGAATCTCAAGCCCTAGTGGACACCAGCGCTGTTCAGGATGATGGTGAGAGGAAGTACCAGGCTGAGAACAAGGGTGGTATTGCCAGGCGATACCAAGACGAGAACAAATGAGCGTAGTGCGTATCTTTTCTGGCCTGCTCATTGTGATTACACCACTAATTTGTTGCTCACTCAGTTGTCGCAATGTATGAACTTGAGTCCAGATGTACAGGGCGCTCATGTTGGATCAGACAAGTGTCACTCAAGTCAAGATACCAATTGCTCGTCAAGTCGCATAAGGTAGTAGCATAGTATAGTTTGGAAATCACATTCGTTTCATCTACAATCTCTCTTCTGATGCTTTGCCATAATGTTGTTTGCACCCGTACACTCTAGTAGAATAACGCAAATCGTGTCTCGATACTCTCCCTGGGGGGGTCTGAGCACCCCTCACGATCATGGACGTTCGGATTGGCGAATGAGAGATGCATAGCGACTGATCTTGTAAGTTAATTATATCCAGCACTAGAAGTACTTACAAGGATATTGGAGCCCGCGAGAGTCCACATTTCTGAACAAGGCTACCTCCGAGGTGGTCTGCTTGTCCAAATAGAACCACCGATGGCTTGAGTTGAAGTATAGCCGCGTGCTTTCTCCTACCCTATCTTTGTGGATCACATCACTCAAGTCTACGTCTTCTAGATCGACAGACGTATAGTCGCACAAAGCGAGAGGCCAGTCTCGATTTGGCCCCTTCGTAACACGCCACAAACTATGAGCTGTCAGAAGGGCGCTAAATGTGTTGCGAGACACGTACTTTATGACCTCAAAACGCCGGCCGCGAAGATGAGCATGCTTCTCAACAATATGCTCAACGGCAATCTTAGCTCCATCCGGCGAGAAATCTGGCGGCGTTAGTTACACGGAGGATGGCATGTGCAGCGACTCACCGGTGTGGGCGTAAGTGATAGTGTTGGCATGCTTCGATGTACCAGGACCAGGCTCTGATGTGGCTTTGACCTCATTCCGTTTCCGGCGCTGCCATGGGTCTGCTGTTAGTGTTTACGCGAGGGCTGAATTAGATAGGTATTACCCACCAAATGAGAGACGATGTGGATTTCCATGGCGTCCGGAAAGCCTTGTGTCATCTGCTGCAGGACCTCTTGGTAGTACTTTGATTCGATGAGATCTTCGTCCTCGAAGTCCGCGCTTCGGTATTTCGTTGGCCAATCGCAAAACTTGAAGCCGTGTACGTCGAGGGAGAATGATGCCTTGTTGTCCCGAGCATCTTGCACTTCGACCATGTGTGCAGAGTATTCGTGGTTGGTCATACTGCCGACATCGCTTGGAATTTCGAAAGCAGTCATGTATGGCTTTTCCGTCTCGTAGAGGTCAAGACGGCTAAGATACTCGATGTTCGCATTGACCATCATGATTTCGAGCTTTCCAGTTTGATCAGTAATCGGTTTGGGCGGTGCACTTGGAAGAAAAAGAAATGTTTTGCGGAGCGCGATATGTGACAGCTATGTCGACCTACAGTCGAGCGCTGACACGCATCTCATTTATCTGTTGGCGTTCGTCATGTTGCTATCTGATCCTTGGTACCAGTTCGCGTCGCATCGCCGTAATGTCTGGTACGGCGCTCCGCGCCTAGCCACGCCCCACCTTCACTAAAACAGCACCTCCATCCGACAATGTTGAGCCATATGCAATAGCTGTTATCGCGGTATCTCACAGTGTTGAACTCTAGAGACCGTAACCTATCTGTGTAGCTCTCTATTCATAGCTTCGAGATTCTCAAAGCTTCGATCATTCTACTGATGCCAGCGTAGCTTGAATCTGGCTCATATTGGTGGAGTTATCCGGTGTCCAAGGAATCGGTAGGGTAGGGGGTCGCGCTAGACAATACGGTGCAAGAACAGGCATTAACATTAGCGCGCACGGCACGACGCGCTCGCGGATACGGACGCTGTACATATGCATGCACATGAAGCACATCCGACTAATGAATCAGGATTCAGGGTGATGCATGGCGTTCATGGGCTGAGTCTTGTGACAGCGGGGCTAGGCAACCATTATGATGTGGGGTTAAGCACGATGAGGCTCCGTTCGTGGGTGAACATCGAGACCTGTGAACTGTGCCTGTTACATTCCGATGCGATTCTTCAGCTTCTTGTCGTCGCTGCGTGTACAATCGCCCCTCAACTTGTTTGCTTCTACCTCCACGTCCAAAATGGCAGCTAAGCTTCAGCCTCTCGCTCAGCGTCTGATTGTGCAGCTGGGATCAATTCATTATCTTGTCCGGAACCGCATTGAGGTACGATATTCCGATTATCTGACAGGTAGATGTGACTGATGCCGACATTGTGTTTGCAAAGTTCGAGTTACCAGGGAACACACCTTCTCCGGTCACCTCCCCTGCGCCGGCAGTCATTATCACTCTCGACAGCACGCCCATCTCTCTTGCTGCTATCCATGAGAAATTCACACAATTCAAAGCAGCAGACGATGTTTACAGCGATGCGTTCAATACCGGAGGATATCTCATCGTGCAGCACCCATGCAATCAATTCACAGGCACACTACCCACCGACGTAAAGGAATATCTCAATGGAAGCTCGACAAAACTCTTGACTCTCGACGAAACACTACCAGAAGGGCCATATTTCGTGCTTGGAAACCATTTGCACCAGGCCTGGCGACTACATCCCGATGTTTTGTCTGCATTCGCCGTGGCAGTCTTACCAGACGACGTGAATGCCTCGTCAATGTCGAGGTCACACTCTGTGGAAAAGTTTGTAGCACCTGCAACTTCACAATCCAAGCTGACATGGCTAGATATCAAGCGTTTCAAAATGCTGCTTTCACAGACGCTGCAGCTGCAGTAAGCGTTCCAGTTCCTTCCCGTCTTTATTACCAAAAGACTTCCGAGCAACCGTTCGCTGGCCTCCGAGTCGCCATCAAAGACAATATGCATCTTGCCGGAATTGTTACGGGATTGGGTAGTCGCGCGTATGCTGAGTTGTATGGCAAAAAAGACGTTACGTCGCAGTACGTTTCTTCCCTAGAGAAAAAAGGTGCTGTTATCGTTGGTAAGACGAAGCTATCTGCATTCGCAGGCTCGGAAGTACCACCGAACCAATGCATTGACTACTTCCCTCCGTGGAATGCAAGAGGGGATGGATACCAGGGTCCTTCCGGTAGTTCAAGTGGAGCAGCTGCAGTGATGGGTGGCTATCCGTGGATTGATGTGTCCTTATGTACAGACAGTAAGAATCGTCTGATTTCTGATTTTCTACGAGCTGACATCCTCTAGCTAGTGGTAGCATGCGCTTTCCATCATCATCACATGGCATTTGGGCTCATCGGATCACTTGGGGCGCAGTGTCTATGGAGGGAGTTGTACCAGCTGTTCAGTAGGTACTCCATCTTGGTTGATTTGATGCGTGTTGATGTGTTCCTAGGGTCTATGACAATATGGGCTTGCTGGCTCGAACACCAGAAAGACTATCGGATCTTTTGACAGCCATACCTGGTCATGGTATCTCCAAGAAAGTGCGCGACTCTTCTCTCATTGGACTGCATCAAGACTCTCGCTGATCTACCGCAGCCAAACCGCATATTGTACCCTACCGACTGGTACCCCCAGTCGAATGCCAACCAGCAAGCGATGACAGATGCATTCGTAAGGAAGCTGGAAGAGTACTTGGGTATCACGACTACGAAGCTGTCGGTACTGAAAGAATGGGAGAAGACTGCGCCTGCCGGGACTAACTCCTCGTTGATTGACTATCTGGATATGGTATGGAAAGGCCACTTGTCAGAAAGAATGGGTACTGATATTACAACTAGAGTGCATACGCGGTCAATGGATTCTTCGGCTACCACAATTTCGACGACTTCCGGACCGGTTATTTGGAAAAGTTCGGAAAGAAACCTTACGTCAGTCCAAGTCACACAGCACGGTGGTGAGTGAGAGCCTTGCTCAACACGCTGGTTTCACTAACACTTTCAGGGAAAGAAACTCCAAATATACGGTGGAGGACAAAGATTTGGCTTTGAAGAAGCTACAGGTGTTCAAGAAATGGTGGGCTGAACATATCTGGAAGGAAGATGTAGATGGGGGCTACACAATAATGATCGTACCTCAAGGAAGGCCTGGTGCGAATTACCGGGACAGAATACCAGAGTCTCCGTGGGTGCATCATCCTAACAAGGTCGATACTGGCTGACAAATTGAAGTGGCGGTGATTCGGGGCCCGATCCCAAGTCTTATGACGAGATTTTTGTTACTTCGATACTTGGTTGCCCTCAGTTGGTGGTTCCCAGTAAGTCCCTATATTCCACATCGCAACCGAAGCTAACAGTAGTAGTCGGCCAGAATTCATACGACTCAGATGTGTCTGGGCTAGTCGAGTATGCTCCAATAGTCACTACTTTGATTGGGCCGTCTCGTGAGTACAAACGCAACCATGCGAGATCATCTGCTGATCGTCCATATCAGATTCGGACAAACTCCTTGTCGAAGTAGCTTCGAACACTCTCAAAAAAGCTGGCTGGCCTTCGTCAGTTCTCACCGGTCGCTTCATGTTTGAGAAGGGCGACAACGAGCGGAATACCGCGCCCCGAGAAAAGCTTTGAGGTGCGCCACAGTGAGGTGAACGATTGTTTGGATTGGGGATTGAGCTTCTTTGACTCGTATTCAAGCTCTTTCGGATTCACAATCAAAGGTATACGGCCTCGAAAAAGTTGTCATCATCAAGAGCTTGTCTTCATCTATCTCCCTCTCGATCTAGAATGCCACACCCTGACCTTTGTTCTCATCCATTCCCTGTACTCAATCCAAATTGGAACCATGAGCATAACCACAGTGAACGGTACAGCTATTGTGAAATATGTTCGAAGGTCAGAGCCAGGATCCGCAAGCTCCACTATATTCATGCCAAAGCACGAGGCTATGAAAGTCATCGGAATGAATATGAAAGCAAGAAACGTGATGAATTGGACGCGACGTGCCTCATCCAAGCTCTTCTGAGAGTCAAGAATACTGATAGTACTCATTGCAATCGAAATGGACTCACTGCACCGTCTGGAAAGGTCTTCAGCTTCGTGGCGCAAAACCTCGAAGTCAGTGATAAGACGGGTAGCAACGTCCTTGGATCTTGTCGATTGCTGCCACGTTTTGGGTGGATGCTTCAGGAAAGAAGTCACCTCAGAGAAATAGCAGATGGCGTGGTCGAGAAAATCTTTATCAGCCCTGAGCTGCGCTCCCTGAGCCCTGAGCTGCGATCCCTGATCGACTGGTTCTTCCGGAAGTAATTCCAAGGACGCACGTAGATACGAGAAGACTTGCATCCAGCTAAGCGCTGACGTGTCATAGATGTCGGAAAGGAACATGAAAGGGTCCTTGACGCAGAGCTGACAGTCTTCTTCAGACATGGCGTTCTTATCCGTGCCTTCCTGTAGGAAAACATTGGGAGTTGTATTTGTCTGTAGGGTCTTGCTGGGTTGGGCATCCGTTGACGACATGCTACACTGGCCTCGAGGTACGACTGGGTAGAACTGAGCTTCGATACCAGCAATCGATTTTGGTATCCAGGGTTTAAGCGATGACTTCGAGCCGAAGTCCGTGAACCAAACTCCTGACCAGCTCCCGGTGGATTCTTCATGAGTGAGTAGTGTCGCCTGCTGTTCGACAGTGAAAAACCTGGTATCATGTACATTGATCCGGCGGCATCGTTCGGATCCGGGATGGTCGTCGTTCAAGCACTCTTCGTAATGATCTCGTAGTTGTGCATTTAGTTCAGACCGGAGTTGAGCTGCTCCTCCCTCCATGAATGGAGCTGGGCTGAACATGCCTAGGCTAATGAAGCGGATGGTAGCTACTGGCGGCGTTCGGGATGGCAGAGAGCGTATGCGAAAAGTATCCAGAAAACCATAGTACTCTAAAACACTCTCAGGGTCCAGATCCAGGTTTTGACTTATATGGTGCAAGAGGGATGCTTTAGGTGTACCTCGCACAAGGGTGAGAAGACTCGACTTAGTCCGGTCAATGATCTGTCTCGCGCCATGGGTGTTGCGCTCTTCTTCACTGAACTCCCCAAGGATGGCGTGGCTCACCACGTAGGTGTGAATGTCGATTGAGTATGCATCTGGGGATGTTCCAATCGACTCGCCATCGCCCTGGGCCAGTGTTTGGAAGCTCCCAGCCTTGGAAACATCAGCGCGCTGGTCAATCAACCCACTCTTGAGAGATAGGCGTAGTCTCTCTTCCCAAGATGAAACCGGTGTTGCCATCGTGTATGTGCTCCAGAATCTCGCATGAGGGTCCTTGGAAGAATATTCAGACGACGCGAAAAAGGCTGTATATAAAATAATGGAACTTAGATGGGAGGCTGACAAGATCAGTGATGTGTGCAGGCCGTGTCTATGGCCTGAGACACGTTCGCCACAGGCAAGTCGCAAGGCACCAGCCTCTCGCTGTCGCAACCGCGAAGATGGCATTGGGGGCGGTATCCTAACGCGTCAGTTGCGCCGAGATTCTCGCTCAGGCTGCCCGCTCCGCCCATTTCGCGCACCTCAGGCTGATGGACGCCGACATCGCGTTGACGAAGACTTGACACAGCAAGTGGAAGAAGCTGTATGAGATGTGTTGTGTTTACATAGCACCGTGCGGAACAGTTGCCCACGCTTTGTGTATGCTAAGGCGCGATGATGCGTGGATAGCTCCTCAACTGCTTTCGGAACCAATCAGGCGTGGCGTCATTGGCGGCGCTCCGCCTCGGGCACGAGCTGAAGCCAGCCCAGATTCCAACCAGGATACCAATAAGATTTTAAGCTTCATCCAGACACAAACGGGATTGTGGCGGTACATGCGGCTACTAATTTCTTTACAGCAGTTCCTGCCCGCTCTTATTGCCACAAGTTGGTTTTCATGGTAGCGCCTGTCGCGATGACGTTGTGGCACTTTGCTCCGCGGTGCTCGCTGGTCCAGCAAACGAAAGCCGCGCACTCGTAGGAAGGCGCGATGCCAGCACTCATAGATTCACTTGATCTGCTGAACTTGCATGATCAGATATTTGCGCAACCCCCGAACATAATCGTTGCATCAACATCACTTAGTAAGGTGGCCTACGGACGTCGCGCTCGACTAACCGAGGTCCTGCGCCACCACCCATATGGATATCCAGAAAGAGCTCATTCAGGTTGACGAGCTGAATATCGGACTCGATCGATCGCACATCACTTACCAAGGGCAAATTGAAGTACCTGGGAATCACTCCGGAAGTAGCAGTGACGACACACCTCGCTCACACAATCTCAACAGAAGTACGGAGGATCATGTTTCATCAAACACGTCGTCTACTAGCAGGATAGTCAACAAGGTTCGACAGAAGAGACACAATGCCGGTGTTAAGATCAGAAAGACCCTGCACGTGGCAAAGCCAGAAGATAAGGCTGAGGAGCCCGATCCGGATTCGATAGTACTTGTTGATACTACGAAAGTGAAGCAGTCAGGCTCACGCCTTGATCACAAGTCTACAGCACCGGAGAAGCACACACTAAAGGACCTCTTGCATAACCCGATCGACACGGTGAAATTCAAAGGATGGTGTCAGGGAAATCAAGAAGTTGCAGCAAATATAGCTGTGAGCGAAATTCCTCATGGTCAGGAGGTGGATTTGGTCAACGCAGCAACTGCTGTGAACCAGGCCAAGACAGGAGCTGGAAGGGCACAAGCTCAAGAAAATCTTGCCAAGATGCTCAATCAGCGGCAAAGCACTTATGTCCGATGGTCGCTCGATCGACATGTTACCAAGATCAGAATACTACCACGCGACACAGCGGCACTGAAGCCTAGATCGGACTTTGAGAAAGAGGATACCGCAGGCCGTACCGTTACCGACTGGAGAGCTTATAGCTTGCACTTACTGGACTATTACGCCCACCGATACGGAGGTCAGTACATTGGATACGGCTCTGACCCACCGACACCATCGAAGGAAACAATCATGCCGAACATTGAGCGCCTCATCGTTGCAACGTCACCGTTCCAAGAGTTCATCATGACTACCCGTCGGGTTTATAGATGGGAGTGTCCTATCGAAACAACAAAGTATCTTGTAATCTACACTGTCCTTTGGTATATGAACCTTCTTTTACCCGGTGCTCTGTCAGTAGTACTATATCTGGTCGCAGAACGTCACTTTCACGGACAGTCTATTGAGGACCTCCGCGAAGATATCAAACACCGCGAAGACGTGGAGAGAACAGCGCTCTCGCTCACCGAGTTCATCGAGAAACAAGGCGATGAGAACTGGGCGCACGATCTCCTCCAAGACCTCGGTCCCTGGCTCATGGTTCAGCTAGCCGATCTAGCAAACTTCTTCGAGAGCGTCCGCAACTTCTACGAATGGAGAAAGCCAACGCGTACACTAGCCGTCCTTGTAGTCCTCGCTACAGGTATTCTCATCACAGTCTTCACGCCTCTCTGGCTACTCATCAAAGTCTCCACATTCTCCGCTGGTTTCACCTTCTTCTGCCTCTTCCCCATCTCCGTCAATTTCCCAAACTATCGCCTCCTCGTCTCGCCTTCAAAACGCCTGTTTTGGAACATTCCAACGCACGCTGAGTGGGCAATTCAGTACATGCAAGCCGAAGGTCTCCGCGTCGTCACTGAGAAGCAGAATGCTAGCGCGAACATGACCATCCTGACGGATACGAGTAATCCTGACGCTGCTGCCTCATCGGAAGGACAGGGCTTTGCCTCGTATTCGTGCCATTACGATGGATCGCCAGGACGTCTCATCATGAACCGTGCAGGAGTACGATTTGTCGCAAAGGGTCCATTGCACCAAGGCCTCTTCTCTCTTCCGTATGATCGGATTGGCTATCTAGAGAAGCAAGACCGACATGTGGAAAAGATGGTCAAGGTGCTCAAGGAGTGCGACAAGGACTTGCGTATCGTCGATAGAGATGAGCATGAGTGGATACTGCATGAAGTGGAAAAGAGGGATGAGGCGTTTAGTCAGATTGTTGGATTTAGTCGAACAAGTTGGCAGGTTATTTGGTAGTCGTAGTTCGTTTTTCCCAGATGTCCATCTATCACACACAAGAGCACACGAATCTCAACATCGAAATGTTCTTACAGGCAAACTCTCTATTGATTAAGCATTTAAACCCATCGAAACTATCCTCAGACCTTCTCCCCAGAAATGCTCCCCTCAGTCCCCGCAATAGTCGTCTCCCCATTCCCCAGAGTCTCCACCAGCCGTCTTGGACCAACATATCCCCGATTCCTAATCCAAACATACCAACCTCCTAATAAGATCGTCACGCCCCCCACAAGCGCACTCGTATAATTCATCGTCGTAGTATCAAACGGCACCGCAAATGGGAAACAGTAGATCGGTATCCATACAACCATGTACCCACACGCTACGCTGGCCACCGTGTAAAACACCGGGTTAGGCATGGTAAAAGGACCTTTGATGACGTGACGGCGGCGAGTCAAGATGTTGGGCAGGATGAACGCGAGGTACGACATTGACGACAGCACGATGAAGGAGCCGACAAAGGCGGAGAAGGCGGTTGACGAACCGATGTAGATACAACCTAGGATCGTGTTGATGACACCACACGCCAAGGTCGCGTTGAACGGGTTTTCCCACTTCTTGTCGATTTTACCGACCCAGCGGGGGAATGGAGTTGCGTCGTCTCGGCCTAGGGTCCATAGCATGCGGCCGGAGGTTATGTAGCAACCGATGTTTGTGCAGAATGTTGGGATGAAGATTACGAGTAAGAGGCCAAGGGAGCCGCCGTGGGAGTTTGTAGCCTGGCGGTAGAGTTCGGCGAGGGGGAAGGGCCAAGGGTTTGTGAAGAGGGAGTCGAGGTCGTTTACAGAGTAGAAGATTGTTATGAGGTAGAGGAAGGCGGTTATGAAGCCGACGGTGTATTGGGCGAGGATGGCTTTGGGGATGTTGGTTCGGGGACGGGGGAGTTCCTCCGCGAGATGAGAGACGCAGTCGCTGTTCGTCTGTAAGTAACTACAACACTGTGCTTTCTTGACGAGAATCTTGACTTACGGCGTCCCCACAGCGAAAGCTCCGTTCAGCATGCCAGCGCAAAACACAAAGCCGTCGCTACTCCAACCTGCCTGATTCTGCCAGTCGCGCCACACAAACTCATTGCTTGCATATCCCTTGCCGCTTCTGCTAGGCATGATGGCGCATACCATGATGGTGATGAAGACGCCCATTAGGATAAAGAACAGACCAATGTTTGTGAGTTTGGGTAAGGCGCGGTTGGCAAACATGACAATAAAGCAGGCAATCCAAGTGATAATGAGGTAGACGATGAAAACGTGCCAGCGTTCGAAGGCATAGCCAGGGTGAAAGAGGCCGTACATGGAGATGACCTGGTTGGCGAGGATGGAGGATATTGACGCAGTCCCGAAGATCCAACCCAGAGCGTTCCACCTGTGCGGTGTTAGTTTTGCCTTTCCTCATACAACTTCCCAAGTCGGTGGCAAGATGCCCGACAGATGTGGGAGTGATGCTTCGAACCTACCATCCTGCGTAAAAGCCGATGACTTTACCAAACCGCGCTCCTGCTGTCACGCTAGCCCAGTGGTAAACACCCGACGACGAAGGGATAGCAGAAGCCATCTCGGCAATACAAGCCGCTATCATGAAGTAACAACATGCGACAGCAATGAATTCGTAAATGACACCTGCCGGGCCGCCATTGTAGAGCGCGATGACCTAAGCATGGTCAGCATATCGTAGCCTATACATTATGCCAGGAAAGAAAAGGATACTAACAATAGATCCTCCCAACGCCGCCCAAACATTTCCCGTCGTGATACCAATTGCGCAGATGCTCAACAGGCTGAAATTGCGCTCCAGTTCCTGCTTGTGACCCGAAGCATTCAAGACTTCGCCCACGTCGCCCGTGGCCTGGTCGACTTCCGGTCTTGACTTCTCAGAAGACTTCTTTTCCATATCCATGGTCGGTGATCGATGATGGCAGTGCGCCAGCTACTGCGCTGTAGTCGCTTTTGCTCTGCAATTCGTTTTCCAGGAGGGAGGTGGTTGGCAACGAGGATATACGAAAAGCGATAAGAATGTCTTGATGTCAATAGTTGTTGATTTGCCCAGACACGGGAGGACGGAGGCGTAAATTACCAGCCTTATGGGGAAGGAATCAGTGGAGTAGCGTATCGATCGCAGATCAAACGGCCCTGCTTGTCAATCGTACAGCAAGTGTGCGCCCAGAGATAAGAGAGGCCAGGAACGGCACGAAGAGAGGACGACGCGTGCAACGCGAGACAGTGTCCAGGATCAAAGACAGTGAAGTAATACAACAATCGAGAAAATCATTTCTTCACTTGCATCGTACTCTTATGACGCCCCATCTGCCATGCAAGACAGCGGCTTCGGACGCCTCTATCTCTGCTGTGTCAACCACAACACTGTCACTTACACGTAAGTATGTATGCTAAGCGACTGACAGCGCTCGGAGATAAAGCAACGCATCTAGCATTGCCGTCCGCTCTATGCCCCGGTCACGCCAGAAAAGCCCCAGCAAGACAGATGGGGCAGCAGGCGCGTCCAAAGAGAGTCGGGCCAACATCCATGGTGTAACGTGCAAGCAGTAGCCAACTCCGCAGGAGAACCGTGGAGACGGGTCAGGGAACACTAATCGTGTTATGTCGTGTGCAGTACTGATAAGGTGCTGAGGCGGAGCTGAGCTGCCAAGGGTGCAAGATAAGTGATCCCGGGTATATGGTGCAGGAACAGGATGCGCATCTGGCCAATAAGAGGCAAGACTGGTAGATGTAAGCGGGAGATACGCGAATGCTGATTTGGGGTTGCGGAGACTTTTGGAGTAACACAGTGGCGTAAGGCACGATAAGTGAATTTTTTTTTTTTTTTTGCATGCGATTCGGATTATGATCAGAAGACAATTTTGAAATGCTGTCAAGGTGATTTTGAGGGCTTGCGTGATTGTGGTTGAGGTGATGGCTGCTCTCCACACATTTGGGGATCCTAGGAAGTGTTGTCTACACAGCGGAAGGCGGCCTCCGGAGGCTTGCCGCTTACGCGCTAGGATGGCATGTCTGCGCTATCCCCCACGCGTCTTAATGGCCCTGATTGTTCCTGCCAATTGACAACTTGTGATGCATTGACTCTGGACGTATAAGAGAGGTGCAGAATGAAAGCATGATATGACAAGAAGAGACCAGCGAGATGTACTGGGCGAAAAAGTAGGTAAATTGCTGCATCCTTGCAAGATGCATTTTCGAATACTGTACACAAGATAAACGCACCTGCAACTCCAAATCCGTGTCGCTCTGCCAGAGGATCGATGATTACATACGTTTCGTCCCCATCCACGCGTGAGCGAAGCCAATTCTAGTGACATTTCCACATCCATGTCCATGTCATTCCGCATATGAAAGGAAGAGACGACAGGCTTATGCGCTGCGCATCTCGGTATCGTCAGGACCGTCCACATCGCCAATCTTCCGCTTGCTGGGTGTGGCGCTACCCTCGTCGTCGCCGTCGTCGCCTTCAGTCCACTCGGTGACTTCCCACTCGACGTGCACGCCGCTCTCAGTGTGTCCACCGCGCTGCTGCTTGAAGCGGCCCAAACGAGTGTTGCGCACAATCTCCTCGAACCAAGGCGCACCACGAGACTGTGGTTCTGAACGGGCAACGGAGCGCGAGCGGCCAGTCGTCCTTGAGGGACCAGCAACGGACACTTCGTCGTCGCTGCTTTCGCTGCTACTGGGCAGGAAGCCGAGTTCACCCAGCATCTCCTGGTCCTCGTCCAGCAAGCTGCCGACTGTCAGGGAAATGTGATCGGCCTCGTCGCGCGTTCGCTCGTTCCATGATGTGAGTTGAGTACCGCAGTATCCGCAGAATTGACGGCGGCTATTCGGGGTATACGGGGAGGTGAAGCTGCGCTTGATGCTCATAGGGGTTTCGTCGAGGAATTGCGCAAATGTCGCAGAGGTGTACCAGGGCAGAGGTACGCGGAGCCATAGTGTGAGAGGGTTGGCCGAGTGGTGTCCTGTTGTATTGTTGTTAGCGACAGCCCATGACGTGACCCATGAAAAGGGATACATGAGCCGCACAGCAAACACGCCGTGTACTTACGCGACGCAGAAGTGTTGTCGTATCGCAGCTCTGCCTGCCCAATCTGCTGCTTCGGCATCTCGATAACATAGCGGTTCCTGCCGCAGGCGCAACTGCCATGTAGCGTCTGGGTCGCCATGCCGGTTGCTGTTTGGTGTGTCGTGTTTCGGTGTAGGCAACGAGCAATCTGCCTCTGGCCGTAGAACGAGGAATCGATGCGTTCAGTGTTTGCGGGGTGGCGATTGTGGAAAGAAATCGAAATTAGATATCGCCCGTTACGACTTCCCCAGCTGTCGTGCAACGGCCCGTGCGATTGGTTAAACTCCAGCCTTATGAGATGGTAACCTAGGTTGACCCTTACACGTCACCTTGACAACGCAGACAACCCGTTCAGAGTGTGCAATACTAGCTTGATAGATTATGAAAACGCGATAAACATCCACGTACTTGCCACAGAGCATATATGCGCTGCGCTGCGTGGTGCCAAAGGTTACCGCCTGTAAGTTCGGTGATACAGCCTGGCGTCATGGGTGGGGAAGCTCACCACCAAGGAACATTCGAGCACGCTCCAGTGTATTCGCGAAACCAAGACTCCATCCAACCTCAAACTACTTTCTTCTTCGCTTCTTCTCTCATCTTGGCAACCCTTTCGTTGACTCTTTCGATGGCCTCCCTCGCTCCGTCCCAGCACTTCCTCTTCCCTGTGCTGAATACACGATGTATGGACGGACTCCATATACCGCCCATCAGCAGATTGCAGAATCTTCTCTCGCGTAACCAGAAAAGCCAGCCTTTCCACCCATATCCCAGGTACTCGTTAACACCCGTACCGGCAAGATGGTCCATAGCCCTCACCCACTCACTTGCCTCACATTGCCCTGGTGACACGTTGGGAATGCGCTTCGCCGAGTCGGCCAACCACTCATGATGCTTGCCAACGGCGAAGTTCATGGTAGAAAGCGATGGGAGACTGGATTTGTCGGCCCAGACTTGGGCTACAGCCATAGATGCCATATCTGCTCACCGTCAGCATCTGCTTCGCCTGCGCGTTACATCTCAATCCACGTACCAAAAATAGGGAATCCACCAAGTGTTATAGAAACATTGCCCAAGAACGCCAGACTATCCGGCTTTTCTAGTGAAAACACGTTATGATATAGACGGAAAAGCGACTTTCCATTCGATCCGGAAGCATCGAGCCATTGCTGGGGACGGCATGTGGGATCGAAGCGAGGCTCAATCATACTGAAATCTGATGTGTATCCCGTACACCAGATTATAGCGTCGACTTCAAGCCTAGTTCCGTCTTGCAGTTCCACCTCAGTGGCGCCTAGAATGCGTCTTATTCCTGCAACCGAGGAGATGCTACCGTCTTCGAGACAAGGAATCAGGGTATCAGACACTACGGGTACTTTGCCTGCATGTTCGAAGCGCCACTCAGGACGGATCTTGAAACTCTTGTCTTGCATTCTCTTAATAAAGTTGTCGAATAGACGTTCGCCGAGATGCGGAAAGTATTTTAGGATCAGGCTTTGGACTGTGAAGAGACGTAGGCTATGCGTATGGTCAATCGGGACGCCTTTGATACGCCGTGGGAGCTATAGGTTAAGAGTCAGTATCAAAACACTCGCGACTTCAGGCTGTACTATTGAACATACAATGCGAGCTCCATGCCGATGCGCCATATACACCTTGTTTGCCACACCCACGAGTTGCGTAGCTGTGTCCGCCGCACTATTGCTGAAGCCGACGACCATGACTCTTTTGTTCTCGTAATCTTTCGGCCGCTTGAACGCTTGAGAATGTACGCTAGACCCAGCAAACCTCTCAATGCCTTCCACAACTGGAAGATTGGCCTTTCCGATCATGCCGCCAATCGCTACGACAACCTTATCGTAGTACTCTTCATCCCCTCCTTGAATATTCAAGACCCATTGCTGCCGGCCCTCATTAAATGTGATCTGCTCGATGGAAGTGCAGAGTCGCATATACGGTCCTAGCTTGAAGTGCTTTGTATAGTCTATTAGGTATTGTTGTACTTGTGTAGCTGTAGGGTGTGATGGGACATCTTCCGGGAAGGGAAAATCAGTGAAGCAGCCTCTCTCCTTAGATATATTGACCCTAGTTGTCTCCATGACCGAGGTCTGCTCTTTCGCTGAGTACTGCCATAGACCGCCAACGTATTCATTACGGTCGAAGCCTGTGGCGTGAAAACCTTCCTCCCTGAGGTTCTTCAATGCTACGAGGCCGGCCGGTCCTAAAAGTTCAGTCGATGGTTTTGCCATCTCAAACACAAGGAATCTCACCTAGACCTATCACGGCTACAGTTGTGACCCCGTCCATGATAACAGTCGCGCAGATGTGCTGCTGGCGCTCTGTACGTCTGTCGCCACTCGTCCTTTCAGACGGACACGACGATAGTACCGAACTCAAAGACGCTCGTGTTGTTTTGGCTAATGTTGAAATACACCGTGAGAAGCTTCACGATGAAAGTGAAATGGCCCGGCATGGCGGCTGGTGGGTCTTACGGGCGAATTGTTAGGCGGGCTGCACGGGACGAAAGAGTAAGCAAACTCTCACACTGCGCACTTGTGACACCAACACCATTCCAACTCTCAAGTGTTTTCTATAGCGTATGATACGCATGTTTCTCCGTCAACCTGAATCGGTATGCTTCGCGAAAGCTTGATCTGTTGAAATCGGTTACACCGCCACGGTCAACTAAGCGTTGATGTGGCGTCGGCCCCACTTCACAGCCCACCGATGTAGTGTATCTCACGCATGTGCTGCGGCCTTCCCCCTACTAACGCGTCATCTTTGACAAGCTCTACTGCTTGACTGGACGCCTATTAGCCCTGGAAGTAACGCGTGGTTCTGAGCTTAAAGTTGCGATTGGACATCTCCTCGCGTAAGGCAACAGCTTTCCGTTCAGCTCTACGCGGCTAGTAGAGTATCGACAAGACATATGAGCAAGCCTCCCGTTCTTCTCTACACATCAAGAAGACTGCGATAGAGTTTCAAAACTTTCAACCATTCATTCCTATACTGGACTAAATCTGACTCCCTGTACCTTCCCGACCATGGCTAGTCCACCATCATACCCCGCCAACGGCGATTTCAACTCCAGACCACCACCCCCATCGGCACAATCACGGCCTAACGTCGCTTCCACCCCAAGTGCAATGTCAGTCGCTGACTCTTCTGATAACGACTTTGAGCCAACCCCCATCCATAGCCCCGGAGGTCCACATTACGAAGATTTGCCACCATCATACGACGAAGCGCAAGACCAGGCCGTTCACGATACACGCAACGGCATAGCGCCCGTAGACCCAAGCCAGATCGAAGCTCACCGCATCACTTCCAACGAAGGTCCTAATGAGCCCGAAGTATGGGAGTATCGAGTAAGAGGTGAAGAACCAGATCCTGCGAACGAGCGGGAACAAGCGCCAGACTATGCAAATCATACGAGCGACAAAGCTACCAGTGTACCTGTGCAGCACGTCAGCACCAGTGAGAGCATTGCAGTTGGACGAGTGCACAGCGAGTTTGATTCCAAGTCTAGTGCATCCAGTCTACTTGACCAAGCCCTGAAATTCGCGCATCGAGAGCCAGATGCCGTAGCGCAGTATGCACCGCATTTGAACCGTCTCATCGCGATACCTGAACTCGCCGGGCCGGGACGGCGTGCAGACGAAATCTCAACGTTCCTAATCGCCTACGCAGAAGTTTTGAATCACCATTCGATCAAACCTGATGAATTCGCCGATTTTCTTTACGGTCTACAAGTCCTATGTACTGTCACGAAGACAACAGCCAAAGACTTGTTGGACAGACCAGCGCATGGATACACTTCTTCAACTACAGTGGATGATTACATTCGAGGCGCGAACGAAGTGTTCTTTGCGCCAAGGGGTCTCGTTGTGTCGTTCCGCAGCGAGACTGCGCTTCTCGAACAATTACCCATTCCCATGGGGCACAAAAGTACTGTCCTATCTAATTTGGCGGACAAAACTGCAACAGCTGAATGGAGGGCGCAGCAATTGTATCCCTGGATTGAAGCGCTCGACGTCGAGAATGTCCCGGCGCCGAGCGAGAGGGTACGAAAATTGTATGAGTTGAGTGAGCAGTTCGAAAGTTGGAGAGTTCCTGCACAGAGTTCTTCTGGTACTGGTCGTCACATGTCGGGACAAAACAGAGATTTGGGACATGAAGATCCGCCTCATTCCGTTCTCGAATCTGGAACTCGCCATCCTCGAGGGCAATGTGGGGGTGATTGGTCGCCCTTTGGTATGCCAGGCCGAGGACCATTCGGAGCTCCAGGCAACGGGCCTTTTGGCAGACGAGGTATGCCCTCTCGCGGTCGTGGTCGCGGAAGCGAATGGCGTGGAAACGAGTGGGCAGAAGTGGGCAAAGAGTTGGGCAAGATTGGTGAACAATTCGGCAAACGCATGGGTGATTGGGGTGTAGAGTTTGGAAAACGCGCCAATGCTTTTGGGCTCGATGTGGGCAAAATGGCGAGTGGAAGTGGAAGCGGTAATGGCTCCCAAGTCAGAGGCACAACATCGGGTCAACAGTATCAACAAACACAAAACGATGACCTCCCGCCTGCCTACCACGCTTCAGCAGGTCAAGAGTCGGGCGTGCTGTATGGAGATGAGAAGAGCAAGGTCAATACTCCAAGATACCCTGTCTCGACGACCATAGACGACAAGGGTAAGGGAAAAGCCAAGGAAAAGGACCTGTACAGCGACGATGATGACGATACATCGTCCATGTCATCAGACAGTTCGATCTCTTCCGACTCAGACTCTGATTCCGATTCCGACGACGACGATGACTTCTCTAGCGTGGACAAAGATCTAGCACGTGCGCGCAAACTCTCCATCCGCGATGCTCGCCACCAACTCAAAGAACGCTCTCGTATCTTGAAAAAGCAACACCGTCAGAAGAAGCGTGTGTTGAAAGCTAAGCACACTCTGAACAAAGAAGACAACACGGGAAAGGGCAAAGCCAGAGCCAAATCCAAATCCAAGCTAAAGAAAGATCCAGAATGGATAGAAGCCAAGAAGGAGTATAAAGCACAGAGGAAGGCGTTGAGAAAAGAGCGTTTGACTGCGAAGAAGGAGTGGCGTGAGGCAAGAGAGGAGGTCAGGAGGGAGAGGAGAAGTGCTAGGAAGGAGGCCAGAAGTAATGGCAAGGGTAGAGGATTTATTCCTGGGGAAGTAAAGCCTGAGATGGTATGGCTCGTGATCGAGAATTTGGCGCCGTGAGTGTTTCCAGGGAATCTTGGATGCCCTCTTATGATAGTGGCACTGAGAGATGTATTGACCAGAATGGTCATGTCGAGAAAAGGCATCCTGGCACTAATGTCATTGTCGAGTCATGACCTGAGCATAGCATGAGTCATTAGCCGAATTGCAAACATGGCACGTCACTGTCCTACTCATGCTTTCAAACCACAAGAGTTAACCACGCTCATACTGGCTTCACGACTCTGACAGCGCATTCGGAAAGACGTCGCCTAGAACATATATCGTTGGCGATGGCGCCGCGAAATCGCGTTCTGAGCGTTGAACAGCTTTGCGCGCTCACGTCCGCCTCCTTCCCCGCAACCCCGCCATAAGCGTACAGGAAATCGTCTTCCTTCGTTGAAGATTATCCGCAAGTAGCCCTCGATACATGACATGGAGGTCGCACTACCTGGTTTCAGAGCCGTCATTGGGTAAGTCCAGGGTAACGGCCCAGCTACCTAGGTACCTTTTTGACGGCTTGCCTTATCTCGGAAGAGCGCATCTGAACGACCTGGTATATAGCTTCGAGACCTTCCATCATAGAAAAATCAATACTTTCTTGAGCTGTACGAGTTTTACATGGCGCCGAATCCTAAAAGAGTGAAAATGTCTCCCTCTACTGATCGCAAACGCGCTGTGCGCATCGCAGGATGCTCTGGTGGCTTCACGGACCGTTCTCTTGCCATCACACGTATGGCTGGCGACCCAGAAGTTGATGTCGTAATGGGTAGGATTTCTTGACAAGTAGATGTGGATGATCTTAAGCTGACTGGACTAGGCGATTGGCTATCCGAAATGACTATGACTGTACACGGTAGTGGAAAAGTAAAGCAAAAGTCTACGAAGAACAACAACGGCACTATGAGTCTGGAGGAGCGTAAGAAGAGCGCCATGTACGCTGACACATTTATTCAATGCTTTGAACCGGCAGTATCAAACCTGGTCAAGAACAAGACGAAGCTTGCTGTGAATGCCGGTGCTTCAGACACTGAACTTCTCGCTGAAGTTGTAGTGGATATACTGGAGAAGCAGGGCGCTAGTCATCTCAAAGTAGCATGGATCGAAGGCGATGATGTGACGGGACAGGTCAATAGTCTGATCAAGAAGGGGGAGAAGTTTGAAAGTTTGATGCATGGCAAGAAGCTCGAGGAGTGGGGGATGGAACCCGTGTGCGCTCAGGCGTATCTGGGCGGTCTTTGCATAGCAGAAGCTTTCAGACAAGGCGCCGATGTAGTGCTCGCTGGAAGAGTTGCGGATGCTGCGCCAGTCATCGGTGCTGCGGCGTGAGTTGCCTTACTACCGTCACCAGTGACTCAGCTGACATGATCAGGTGGTGGCATGACTGGAAGAACGACCAGTTTGATGAACTTGCTGGAGCGCTCATCGCTGGCCATCTAGTTGAGTGCTCAGCCTACGTCACAGGAGGATACTACTCGATGTTCAAAGATCTCATGAAGACAGGCAAGCATATCAACATGGGCTTTCCTATCGCAGAAGTAGAGTATGACGGCAGCTTCAACATTGCGAAAGAGAAGGATACTGGAGGTAGGCGTTGGTTTTCCAGCTCATGACTTTATGCGGCTGACATGTCCAGGTTGCGTCACTGTCGGCACATGCACTTCGCAGCTGCTGTATGAGATACAAGGACCACTGTACTACAACTGTGATGTCACAGCTGATATCACGGATGTCAAGATGGAGCAAGTAGGAGAGGACCTAGTACGTGTTACGGGGGTGAAAGGCTTTCCTCCACCACCTACGACTAAGGTTGGTATCACTGCCCCAGCCGGCTGGCAATGCGAGTGGCATATGTTTGTGTGTGGTCTCGATATAGAGGAGAAGTGCAAAATCACCGAAGATCAGATTCGATACGGTACGCGCATTCACATCGTTATCACATCATCGAACTAACGATGCTCAGCCATGGGAGACAACGTCAACCGCTTCAAAACGCTCAGATTCCATCAGAACGGTTCATCACCAATCGATGCACACAACCAGGACGTAGCAACGGTCGACTTCCGGATCTTTGCTCAAACCTCTGATCCCGAGTTGGTAAGGCCAGACGTACCCAACGGATTCAATCGCTGGTGTCTTGAAGTTTTCCTCCAATCAGCTCCTGGTCTCTCGCTTTCCAACGACCTGCGGCAGATTGCGCCGAAACCATATTATGATTACTGGGTTTCACTTCTCCCTCAAGACCAACTGCCGTTGCGCATACATGCCATGTACGGCGACAGAACAGTCACCAATCTCAGTCCACCTAAGATCACGAAAGAGTATCCGCGCCAGCAGGCCTCGTATGAGACCTCGTCGCCAGTCGAGCTTTCTTCGTTCGGTGAAACGGTTCGCGCACCGCTGGGTTACATCGTCGCCGGCCGGTCTGGTGACAAGGCATCAGACTGCAACTGCGGGTTTTTTGTCCGCTACGATGATGAATGGGATTGGCTGCGCTCTTTCATGACGATCGAGCGTGTCAAAGACCTTCTCGGGAAGCATGAGTATAGCGGCAAGCCGATTGATCGCTTTGAGATTGCAGGGATTCGATCAGTGCATTTCTTGCTGCATGACCACTTGAGAGATGGGGGTTACAATACGTGTTCTTCATATGATACTTTGGGAAAGAGTAAGTGGCGTATGAGGTTATTGAAGTGATTGTTGCTAACGAATGTATAGATGCTATGGAGTATATGCGTGCGAAGACTGTAGATTTGCCGAAGAAGTTCTTGGATCGTGGCCGTATCTAATCGCATAGCCATAGAAAGTGAAGACTTTCAGTTGCTTGCAAGTAACGCAATCACCTTACCGAGATCTGAGCCTTTTGACTCGAATTACTCAGCTGTGGTGATGGGGTGTACGTGAGTGTCCTTAAGTGCTTCTCATGTGACATTTGTTGTTATATCTCTCCTAAACCGAAGCCTCACTGATGGCTCGGTGTCTATCGTACTTCTGAGAAGCGCCACTTCATGTTGATGTAGTGAAGGTGAGTGCGGTCCGTGTTTTAGTGCAACAGTCATTGCTCTTTCCTTTCTCGATTATAAGAGTCCAAGCTTAGCTTTTTCATATCACTACGACTTTCTGGACACTGCCGCTCACCTCTCTGTCACACACTATCCTAGTTCCATACGAGACTCACTTACTACACCGTGCTCAAACGTGACATAACTGCAAGTCACTGCGCCTGCGGCCATCAGGCAAGTATTGTCCCTGTTGTATAAATCATCGTGTTTCTGCATTTGCTAAGTAACTCTAGTCGCACAGCTGTCATCGCGCGACTCGCCCAGTAACAGAACTACTGTATCTCAGCGCAGTCATGCACTTTCCACTCCCAGAACCAGCTCCCAGTCGGATCGCACAAGTGTACTCTCAATTGGACGACCCGGGTGCAGCTTCACTACTCGGTATCCCGCCCGAACTTCGCAACCAGATCTATGAGTACTTACTCGTAGATCCCCGATCTGTCACCATCAAGGCTGAACTTGACGACGACAATACTATAAGCACGGTTAGTGACTTCGCGGGAAGCTCTACCATCATTTATACCTGCCGTCAGATCTACCATGAGGCACTGGGTATTCTTTATGGCCAGAATGTCTTTCGCTTCCAGTACAGCGTACATTACCCACAAGATTCGCTCGACCGTCACATCGTTCGTCCTGTCGAGACGTGCACAGAATGGGTCAGAAACATCGGGTCCTGCCTTTCAGGGTTGTGCACTGTTATCATCGACATAAGTGGGGCCGAATTGCAAAGTAATTTTGAGATAGATATGCTGGAGGGGTTCGAAGGGGATCTGGCGATTCTGCAATTACTCGACATTATCTGGAACGACATCGCGAGCGATATATCAATCAAATTCGAGCACAGCAACCGAACTACGCGGTACATTCCGAACGCGGATACTGAAATATCGAAAGTATTGGATGAAAAGTGCAAAGAAATCACTAAAATTGTGCATGAGCTGGGAAATAAGAATTGTTTAGGCTTGAAAGAAACACGTCGCTTACTACGAAAAGTCTACGTAGACGAGAGTGGCATTAGAGGGACCATCATATATCAGGGAACTGATCATAGAACTGAGATCTGCCGCGAGTTTCAGTTTTTGGAGGAGACCAGGATGTACGAACTCGTCCTTCTACTGAGTCCATTGAGTCTGCCCGACCTACCTACCAAGGTCATCACTGATATCGCTGAGCTTGCACTACCCAACCACGACGTCACATACAACTTCGACACAGGCATCACGCATGGACAAGAATTCGGCTTGCTCAACGTCAATAGACAGATCCGCGACATGGTCCGCCCATGGTTCCTTTCCAAAACTCGTTTCACCCTTATCCTAGGTTCTGATACTTCGCAGCCTACGAAGACACTGTATGAAGTACTTGAACCTCGCATCGCAGAATCTTTCGAGGATGTTTATGATTACAGCCCTCACATGAGATACTGTACTCCGATTGAGGCGGTTCATGATTACGAAAATGAGCCGACCATCATTCTGCATTTCCCGACATCCAACCACGTCCAGATCAACGCATTGGATCTCCTGCGGACCACTACAATCTTCCCGCCGGGTACTACAATCATGGTTCGCGTACGTGATTGTAGTGACAATGTCCATGTCACGACACTAGGTGAAATTCGGAGATATGCTCTAGTATTCTTGGAGGATCTCATGGTCAAAGCAACCCCACAATCTTATTGGAGCACAGTCGAGTTTTGGCTCAATGAGCAGTGCCTTCCTGTGAGAGCCACCATCCAGGGAGAGCATCAGGGATCGGAGCATGCTTGTGGGGATGTGGTAGATGTCTCGAATATGATGGACGTTACCACTTTGCACAACGCAGTCGAGGCAAGAGAGTGGATACCATACGGAGAGTTAAATGGGCTCAGAGGCATCACTGAATCGGCAAACTGGGGTGATGGGACGCTTGATGACCTTGTTAAGTGTCTTAGATTACTACTCTTCTTGTGACCGAAAAATCATCGGTAAGGAGGCTATGATGGGTTCCCCCTGTACTCGGGATGAAGTATCTGCACGCACGGGAACACCAAGACTTGCTGTACCTTAAGTGCTGCTGTCCTCCAATCAACGTGATAGTTAAAACATGATGGATATGTCTTACACCGATTAGACCAAAAAGCCCGCGGAGGATCATTTCCATGCACGGCCTTATCTTATTTCCTTTTGCCCTACAATATCCGTGACTAGGCAATAAAGAGTACGCGTCTGCCTGGGCATACCCACACAGTGGTGTATACCTACAGTAATCTAAACGAGGCAGACAAGAAAGCGCCACAAGAAAAACAAAGGAATGCCTTCGGTAATCAACCTCATTTCCTATTAGCCCCCAAACTACCTACACCGGAGTACTAAGCAGCGAAGCTAACTTCTCACCTAGTTTAGACCTAAGCACTAACGGGAGCGAAGATCGACAGCTAGAAGGTCTCATGCGGAAAACGAAAAAGCCCTCGCCAAACACTTCTGCTCCTTCGTCCATGTCAGATGCACATGCAGCATGACAGGCAAGCGCGGCTAATTTGTACCGGTTTGCTACTCGCGTAGCCATCACGTTCAGGAGCAGGCGGGGGTATGTAGGTATAGGAAGTTGCATATATACTGTAGGCAGGTGTTGCGCTTTACGAGCTTCCTAGTTCAACAGGCTTTGAGATGACGGGCTTTATAGGCGTGGAGACGGGCGTCCCAGGAATGCCGGCGCTACTCCACATAGTGGAAGAAGCGGACTTACAAAGTCGTTTGGCGTGCGAATGGAAACAGAGAGAGAGAGAGAGAGCGCGAGAGAGAAAAACGTGACTGCCATGTACACAACGATTTGAACCTACCGGTGAGCGCCACGCATCGGCATTTAACTTACTCCAATTTTACCATGGGAGTTACTCCAAATTTCTCCGCGGAGCAAGCTAGTTACCTTGGAGACATGGCTACGCGTGTCATGGGAGATTGCGACATTGTGGCATCGCGCGATGCGATGCGAACACGGCCTGGGAATTTCGGCCGGAGTTACGAGGGAATGGAGATCATCTGTATACGTACCGTACTTACCGATGTATACCCGTTGCTCCGAAAAGACCGACCTCGGGTAGCGCGTAACGCGTATCTTACCTGGCTGTTCGGTCGTTTGTTCGTTCGTACGAGTCGCGTCGTTTCCGTGCATAACTACCGTGATCGCGTCATCTCGTCTTGCCCTGCGCGAATAGACTCCACTTTGACGATCCAGAGGACCCTCTTCACGATAGCGATCTCCAACCTCCAGTCTTGCCCGTATTGTACTAAGCCACTAGATCTTAGCAAGACCCCTCTTACACTCCACCGCACTAACCTCCTTACCAAGCTTTCCGGGCCTCTGACTAGCAGCGATTTAATGCTACTAGATCCGGAGTTCTGTCCCCTGATCCAATCATTAGCATTGGACCCTTTCCGAGCGTAAGTGGAGGTAAAGTGTATATGTGAGAGTGTCGTTGTAATAACAGCGATGGTTCAGGAAAGTTGAGAAGATTCTTGGTGTAGAATATTTTGCTGGTGTTTGAAAGCACTGTTCCTGCGATCCGCTTCCCATCGAGATGACGGAAGAAGTAGAGAGGAACTTTTATGGCCCCAGCGTTGCTCATCATTTTGGAGGGAGTTGCGAGTGGAGGGCCTCGGAGTGAGGTGGGAATAATAGACTTACGAAAGGACGTCATGACAGCGGCGCCAAGTCGGAATGGTGTGGCCTGGTCGCGGCTTCTCTCCCGTTGAGGAAATTGTTCCAGAACGACGAGTACGGTGTGGTTTTAGACTTCAGGGAAAAAGCGTAGTGTGGTAGTAGGAACTAGTGCGGGAAACCTTACGGTTCCTGTGAGGCGTCCGGTACGCGAACCGAAGTCAAATTGCATCGAATCAAAGCCCGCCGAATCAGATGTACCTTCAGCCAGCCAGGCAACAGCCGGCAGCTGATTCGATGCTAAAGGTGCGCCCTTGCTTGTCGCCTCGCTTCCCCAAGTAAGAGCTGATGTCCAATTTGAGTAATCCATCGTTTGTTTGCTGGGAAAGGAATCCGAACGGTTGGTCGAATCCACGCCACCAACACGTCGAAGGACCAGACAAACGGTGTTTCCGACTACCCTGCCGCCTACAGTCTTGGGCCGGCAGATGGGCGGCTAGTGTGCGTGTCCAAAACGTGTCGTGACTCCAGGCAAAAAGTTTGACTCGATCATGACCTGGAGATCAGCAACATGGCAAACCTTGACATTTTCACCATCCATGATTTTCTACTAGCACCGGAGCGCGTGGAGTATCGAGCAAGAGTCAGTCGGCGACTTGTTGGTTGGCAGCGAGCGAAGACTATCCGAGAGAGTGGTAAAAAATGAGACGGCGTAGTGACAGGCGGAAATAGTGGCGCAGACGGACTCGCTCTCATGTAAGATGCTGCGGCGGCCGAACCTCGCTATCGGTAACGAGGGCAGCGGGTGGGTGGGAGTGATGCATCATGGGCTCGGCTGGGACCTACGAGGGCGAATAGAGTTTGGTGTGGCTCGCCAGTCACATTGGCGGTGTATAATGGTCGGATTATGGTACGGATTGTGGTAGCAGGTGCATAATGGCGGTCGCGTCGCGCGAAAGGGACAAGGAGATGGACGATGCAGAAAGGTGGATGGGAGAAAGAGGCGGACTGCAAAGGCGTTTTCACCACGTGCGGCGTTCGGCGTCTCGGTTGCGGGGATGAGATGGATGGTTCTCGGAGGAAGTGGTATAGGATCTGGCCATGGGAATTGGACGAATTGGCGGTCAGGAAAGCAGCTTCAGTCCGTGGGGATGGTCTGCCGATGTCGACCGGCCGCCACGAGCTGTCAAGGCGTTGCCGGACATGTCAGAACAGGTGCGGCGATCGCTGGCGAAGGTGTGCGCATTATAGGCTGAGAGATGTGCCGAGAAAGGACCGTGGTTATCAAAGTGGTGACATGGCGCCCCATCCGTACCCTATATGTCGTTAGCAAGTCGTGCGAGCGTGCGCGAGCGTGACGCGTTATTTGGTGCCCATCAAAATTGCGATGCGTCGTCGGTAATAGTAATCGAGGGCGAACGCAACCACCAAGGGCGGAATAATACACCAAGGAGTGCGGAACCAAGGAAATAACAAGGGCGGAATGAGATGTACCATGGACAATGCACCATGTAGCCTATACGAGCGACGACTCGAGTCCTGCTTCCTGTCTCTCCGACGTTCCTTCTTTCGTTGGGGGTGCGCGCGCGGAAGGAAGGTACGCGGGATACGGGAGAAGCCTCGGCCGGCCCAAAGCACCGGAACCAGCAAGACACCTCTCTCCTTCTCGCCCCCAGTCCCTCCTCCCCGCATATCTGCACCTCGACAAACTTGCTCCTCTTTTCCTGTCCGTCGTACGAGTCAGAAGGGTTTTATTTTTCTGCAATATGTTCAAAGGTGGATTGCGCATCGTGCTTGCTGCAGTCTCTACTATATGCAATACTATATCGTGCATGTCCCGCTGGCGGAATGTCATCCATGCTGCTGCCATGCCATTGCCGCAGCTCGCTTGCTATAATTGCTACAGGATGGATCGGTCCGGCACCCTGGGCCAGCGAACAAGGCAGCGATGCAACACTGAAACATTACGCGCCCACCCTCCTGCTTGCTAGAAGCGCCGTCTAGGTCTGCACCGTTAGATCTTCGTCATGTGATCCTGGGCAAGAGCCCACTGTGCCGGAACGGCGACGCGTGGCATGAGCGTATATAGCACAGCCGCCAATGTTACCATCACCATGCACGTTACAGCCAGTTTTTGTTGATAGATTGCATTGCCACCTGTGCAACGTCATGTTCCGTCATGTCGTTTCCAAGAGGGTAGATAGTTCCGAGAGTTTGTTACCGACGAGTCGCGATAAAGTTTACGAGCAAGTGGGGGTATATTCCAGCTATTATGTACTGCTCGTGCTATCTCCAAAAGGGGACTCCCAAGGGTCCTGATCGCTGCGCCGCTAAAAACAACAAGACGCTCGTGAGAAAAGAGCCAAAAGGCCGCATGCAATCCACCATCACCCGTATTGTGTGCTCTGCACTGATGCCGAATGTGACATGCACTGATGCCGAACGTGACTGCATTGATGCCGAATGCGACATGCACAACCATGCTGACGCGCTCAGACCACCGTGCTTTGGTGACAAGACAGATGGTGAGGAAATCGTTTTGTCGCAAGGAAACCGAGGTATCAAGGTATCAAGGTATCATATTCTTAACATGCCGTAACGCCAGACTGGGGTAGTCGCCGAAGAAGACCGGATTTTCCCTACCGCAAGATGCGCCATTAGGTGAATAGCAAAACGACGCGAAGACGACGCGAAAAGCGCGGAGACGCGAAGACGCGGAGAAACGCGAAACATGTGGCGTGACAGGCAGACTCCTTTGTTCTGCGCAGTGCTGACCCAGTGAGGCTAAAAATGGTGTCGCGGAATGCACAACATCCTGGAAGCATATATCGAGTCCAGGTGTGACGAACGAGGCTGTCGCGTTGGCTGCTCGATGAAGCGCGATAAAGTGTCGGAAGACGGCCAGTCCGGGCTAGGTGGGTGTCTGGCGGGAAGGGGATGTTTAACAGTGTTCTACAAGGGTGGTGCGAGATACTACTGCTGGGGACGGCGGGCAGTCCAGATGTGGCTGTCAAGGGTTAGTGCTGGGCTTTGTTGGCACAAGGATATATTGGAAACCTACATGTTGTTGTACGCATGGATTTTGCGGTTGCAAATTTCCCTGCGAACGCTCTCGAGCACTGGCCTGATATGTGCGTTGAGGTCCCACTGGTAGACCCTGGTGAGGGGTGCAATGGTTAGCGCCTCGAGGCCCTCGGTCAGGCCCAGGTTGTACCACCTCCCAATGTCCTTTTGGTGCGGGTCATTGGGCCATGTGTTGTAGGGGACGCGGATGACCGTCTCTTGGATGTCGATGAAGCCGGCTTGTTGCAGC